TTCTGCGTTCTTGGATGACAAAAATCCGTGGTAGTAACCCGCTTAGCTCATGGAGGTAGTCTCGATCTCTGATGTTTCAAATAAAAAAAAAATATTGTAAATGTTATTTACAAAGAGCAACCCCTAGAGTTTCTTGCTCATTCTTCTCAGGGGAATCTGCCTTACGAATGAGCGGTAGAGTTTAACCATTGTGACGATTTCAAGTGTAATAATGCTTACCTATGAAATAAAGATTATTTTGAATTTGAATTTGAAGGAGACTACTTCTATAAAGTACACAAATAATAAAGACGTTTAATGTATAAGAATAGAATAAATAAAACAGATTGATCGAATTGTCGTCCTGGGACATCATGCCAGGTAACAGACAACGTGGCCTCTTTAGATAAGCTAATTCTTTAGCTAAAGTAGCTACCAGCCTTCTGAGCCACATTAGCTTCGACAAGCTAAAACGCAATTTTTCAAATATCCATCACAGCAAAAGTGCTCATGAACACGTAATCTGTTTATGTTTGTAATTTATAACACATTAAGTTCTTAATGTCTTATATTTAAAGCGGTAACTGAACAGTCTAAATAAGCCGTTATTAAAACGACTCTTTTCTTCTGTTAATACAAGCTAAATGTTATTATTATATTAAACACGAGTGTTAAGAAGTTCCAGGTGCGGCTTTGTCAGTAACCAGTTAGTAGCAAAACCAATCTCAAAATGACTCCAGGCAAAGGTACTAAAGACGCCTTACTACGAAGTTAAGAATTCCTAGAACACACATCGTGGAAATATCTTCTAAATCTCTGGGCCAAATTTGTTCGCTATAATCTCGACGTATCTAAAATGATGTAATGCGGAAAATCTTCTAGATAAGTGAGCTTCTCTGGCCTCTTCGCGTTTACTATGAATAATAAGAAAATATACTTTACAGACTTTGGAGTCTCGGAATGCACAAATAGTTTTAGCTCCTCGCAAGAACTTTCACAAAAGATAAAAAGTTCGTCATGCTTACCAAGGATAATGAAATCGTCTGTGAATCAACAAATTTAAGAAGACCTTGGTATTCAGTGTCATCTTATATTTTATCGACTTTTTGTAGTATTATTGTTATAAAGAATGTTCCGAAGTTGGGTATCTTTCTAAATTTGTCGAGTAATCTTTTCCCACTCCCACATTTTTTTGTCCGACGTGACAGTATTTTTCGAAGTGATTTATCCGGGTTCAGATTCCCATAACCTAATATATTTTCTTTCATTGAAGCGTTCAACTGGTGTTATATAAAAATATTAAAAGTGAAGAAAACTGTTTTCTATAAATTTAGTGAATTCAATTACGAGTTTTATTATAGTATCTCTGTATTATAGCCAGATTTTAACAAGTTTTTAACCATTTGCATTAATTTATAAAGTTCATTTTTTACTTTTGTCTTCGTCATTGAATCTGACCCTTACATAGGGGGCGGATACAACACAAAAGAAAAAACAAATACAAAAGAGAAAAACAAAAGCTTAAATAAAAACAACATTAATCAAACCTTCGTCGATACAGCGAAAAAAGTTATAGACAATGAGTAAACAGTTACTAATACAAATGTCTTACTTGGAAAATTCAACGGTATTTATATGGCCATACAAACAATTATTTATAAAATATGTTTTAGTATAAAAGCAAACAAGTGAAGTCCTTGTTATGATTTATCATAATTGCATGCAGTATAATTATCAAAGGCAATTATGGAATCGCTTATCATTTCTTAGCAATTCATGTGGCAACAGTTTCCGAAATCAAACAAGTCACTGTTATAAAACTTAATAAAAGAGATCTGTGTGCTTAAGACAACAAATTAGACACAAAAAAATAAAGAAGCTTTCAGTCTTCAAATTAACGCTATATGAGACCAAATCTTAGTAAAAACGAATTATGTAAAATTAATAAAAGCATAATTGCAGTAACAACCTCCTTGACCTGAATGCTGATTGCAGAAATGGAGGTCATCAGATCAAATCGTACTGAGACAACTCTCTAAAATTGTCACGACATTAAACAAAACAGAACATAATAAAACATAACAGATTAAGGCATAATAAGATAAGACAATACGAAAACTAACGACAAAGCACTTTACTACAAAAATCTCTAAACAAGCTTAAAATGTATGATTTAAAGATTATAGACAAAATTCTGTCCAAATTGCTTGAGCTGTTGTTGGTGAGTAGTAGACTATTAAGTATCTAAGTAACTCCGCAAGGGTTAACCAAATATGTACTGTGTAAGCTTTAAAACCATCCGAAAGTTATGTAAGTGTGACAAATGATAACAAACCTAAGCTTAACCTCAATCGCTCTACAAACGCTCCTTATTTGTCTTACAACAATTTAGTTAAAGTTTGCCCGTATTCCCATGCTCCCATTACCCATCCTAACAACAGAGCAATGCATCGGAATTGGCCTGAAAATCACGATAAGTATCTCTCGGTTGTCACGAACCAATTTCGACCGAAACGCTCCTGGTCGAGATTTGAGTGAGAGGACGTGACCTTTTGAACCAACTCGAAGTGTGAACCATCATGTCTAGCCAGCGGGTGGCGTGAGTTGACCGAGCATCAAACTGAATTTTTGTAAATCGAAACAGAAAAATCTTTTACAAGAATATCTCTTGGATATCAGACGTCGATCAAACGCCACGGCGTAAAACACAAATCTATCTGGTTTGACTTGACCCTGAGAACTTGGATTAGTCATTGCCTTTTGTTATGTGTTGTTTGGATAAAGGGAATAATATGTGGATGGCCATATTGTTCCGTCAAAATGTAAGTATGATTTGAATGATTGATTGGGATATTGACTTTGAACATTTGAATAGCCAGAGTAAGCAAATAGCATAATGCAACTGGTTAGAAATTTCGAATTGATAAAAATACAAAGTACGTAACGAGCTTTAATAATCGCAAAATGTTACAGTGCTGAAACTGGATATCTGGTCAATTTCTTATCTCTCTTGGAGACACATTGCGGATGATCGAGGCAACCATTGGTGCGTTTAAGCGTGAAATCCGAAGATAGTCCGATACCCCCGATATTGATAGCAGGTATCTCGGAACCAGAAATAGTTTTGGAATTGTATTGGAGATAAAATTGGGGTGACTAAAGAGCCTGTTTGTGTCACGATGATTTTTAACGGTCTTTGATTTAGGAAAAGGTCGAGGTTTACTAAGGATTAAATAAAGGTATTTCTGTTCTACACCCCTGTAGGCAAACAGCACAAGCGTCATGTAGGTAATAAGTATGTGAAATTAAAATAGAAATGTTTTAGCTAAGCAGATTTATGTTTTGAGTGGCCTTAATTCAATAAGTAAGAAAGTTGACTTTGTTACTCTACGAAATTCAAATATCTTTATAAGGGATAAGGGATCTTTATTCGGAGGAAACAAAGGAATAAAGGATGTGCTAAAGTACATCCTTTCTTTTGCTATTTAAATGCCAGGACTCAAATCAAATTAAATGGATGAAATTATTACTAAAGTACTGCACTCTCATACACCACAAACGCAAATATAATGCGAAAACGTCTTGAACTACCGTTGTAGATAGTTAATACTTTTCATGACGAATATAACGCACTCTCAAAAAGATACGTACTCAGTAAAATTTTTTGTTAAACTATTTTATACAGTAGTTAAGATAGCATCTCCTACAAAAAAAAAAATCCATTAGAACATGGTCAGGCCGAATTGGGTAACTGGAATGAACTCTATGATAGGCGTGCGAAACACGTTATTGGCCGTTTTTTTTAAGTTAGTTTACAGAGTGCTAAAACAATTTCATTTCTGTAAAATCCTGCAGCTTATACCTTTTTAAACAAGTAAATCAACAAGTGTAAGTTATGATTGGTATGTTGTTGAACTTGTTCCATAATACCAATAATGGTTTAAGTTGGTTTCTACACTGAACCTGACCATTATAATACGCCTACTCCCGATTAATCTCTCAGTGGTCGACCGCTCGCAGTTTTTTGACACCACCATCGGTCCGGTACTAAATATTAAAAAAATATTCTCAAGGTCCCTTCCCGTTAAGCGGTTTTTAAAATAAACAGTGCCAGTTGTCCAGCACAAGTTATGGAGCGAAGAAAAAGTGGACCAGGCGGTCATTTAAAGTATGTCACACCATATGCTGCACGCGGCCAAGCTCATACTTTGAAAACTATTACAAAAAATCAATAACTGCTCTTCGGACCGTGTCCGACGGAAGATCACATAAATACTCATCTAACTAGTTACGAATATAGAATGTATTGTAAATCTCCTTTATAGCTTCCATAGTATATCCATGACGGTTGAAATATGACTTGGGAGCCTTTTCTACCTGAAAAGGGACCATCATTATGGCTTGCGATGATTGTCGGCAAGTCGAAATTATTTCGGGTTCTTTTTTTGTAAACAACGTTCTCAATAGTCTGATGTAGAAACAACGGAGTTAACAGTTAAGCCGACATTTGGTTTTGACACAAAGGATCTCAGTTTTAGTATCTCTGTCGGCAAAATAAAAAGAATAGAAAAACGTCTGTCCTCCAACAAACCGCAATAAATGTTGGTTATAAATGAGCAAAATTGAAGAATAATGATTTAATGACAGCAAATTATACAATTTCTTAAATAAACTCTTCAGTTAATGAGGTGCAATAAATTTCATTTTAATGACGTGAAAGAAACAAAAAGTATTTTAATGATTGAGTTTTATTTATAATTTATTATTATGTATAACAGTCGACAAATTATCATAATATCAATACATGTAGTTCAACTTATAGTTTACGATACCTTTTAAGTATGTGTACCAATTTCAAAATACGTATGATTTTTAAAGTTTGCGTCTTAAACTATTTCACAGATACTATAATTGGTATCACAAACTATAGAATGTCTATCTAATTTTTACACCGTTCAATTCTTAATTAATGACTAGTAAAACTATACAGAAATAATAAACTTTTTTATACAAGGATTAGTTTCATTTCTATCTACAAAATATTTGGTAACAATGAGATAATATACTATACCAAAATACTTTATACAAGTTTAATCACTCCTGATACTGGCAATAACTTGTATTTATTTGTATCAGTCTTAATGGACAACAAATTTTTTTAATATTTGTTGTTAAAAACTCTAAATTGTTAAAAAAGTATACAATAACATAAGAAAGTACTAGAAAGTGAATTACAAAGTATAGTATAAACAATAAGTATGAGTACACAATATCAATTTAATAATTATACAGTCTCTGAATATGACAAAATTATCTACGTATTGTAAATCTACGCAGGAACGAATATATCATTAAAAGTTTGGCCAAATGATTCTTAACAAACAATTTTGTAAAACTATCACTTTTCAATAAGGCTTTCACAACTAATAAATGCAGTCTAGCTTACACATGTGCTTGGAATGTGACGTTCCATTAAGAAATATCTTTCAGAGATAACGAGGTTTAAACCGAGTTTATCATCTGTGCGCGGCTAAATGAGTTTGGGGCAAGCACTCATGTACAGATGATCGGGGTTGCAAGTAACCCTGCTCGTCGAGCATTGAAGGAGAGGGATGGCCGACATGTTGCTGTTTACGCAGTGTATTAGGTGGTCTAGGCCGCCCACCATAAGGCTGCTCATAATTTTGAGTATCTATTGAAATATAACTATGATGCAAGTGATCTGCGTCCTGAATCTGACTCGTCAATGTTGTGTTAGTCAACATAGAGGTGTCATCTTCAATGTTTATGACCGTAGTGGTCGGAGTCTGCGGAGGTATAGCATCATATTTATACCAATGTTCCGGTGCAGTGGGCGAGGCTGTATATCTCGAAGGATGTCTCCTACCATTTGGACAAACGCCATGGTTGTAATTCATTGAGTCTTTGTTCCATTGTAAGTTAGAAATGTCTGGCATTACAAATCTAATTTTTTCCCAGAACTTTTTTTCACCCCATAATAGTACGTTGCTGGTTTTTAAATAGTTTTGGAAGTCCATGTCTAAATTTAACGCACTTACATCTGTTGTTAAAATGAATACTACTCTATGCCGCCTAATGGAAGGGTGAATAGAAGTGATAACATGTTTTATGGCTGCCTTGAATGAAGCTTTAGACCACTCATTCTGTAAGAAGTTGAAAGATACAAATATTAACATCCTTTTTGACGATTCTGCAGCATTTGTGATTTGTTCAGTTAAATAATTCTCAGGCGCATGTTGCAGGTCCCTATAGTGAAAGCACATTGTGTAGCCAGAGTGTTCCATTTCGGGAGCTACTACCTTCGATACAAAGTCATCGTCCAACAAACTATATACAGCATATCCATCGTACAATCTATCCCTATCTAGCTCACTTTCTTGAATAGAAGCACTTTTAAACAATCGCACTCCATATTTAGAATGAGCCCAAAGGCGCACATTTTGTCTAAAAGAGAATGCTAAGGCACCGAACAATAGAATGAGAATTACACTTATTAAGACTACAGCTAAAAGAGGTACAAAGTTCAGTTTGATCGTGCTCACTTCATCGTACTGGTAAGGTTGATTCTCTGTAGGAATAGTATTGTCCATTACACTTGAATCACGACACTTATCAATCACGTCAAATACTGTTAAGTTTGAAGCTAGTCCACTTTCATCAACACAAAACATTTCGACAGGGTCTTCGTAGTTCTTTTTAAACCAGTTTTGCAGAGGCATAACGTTTTCACATGTGCAGGTAAAGATATTTCCTACCACATTAACATTCTCTAAATGTACGATGTGCGCTAGCTTTTTGTCAAGGTCGAGTACTTTGTTGCCTTGTAAGTGCGCAACTCGTAAAGATGACAAGTTCTCAAAAGTCTTGTTTGCGACACTTGTCAAGAGATTATCATTCAAGTATAACTCCCTCAAGTGCTTTGTTTGTGAGAATTCACCGCCGGCTAATTCAGTCAGCTGATTGTTTTCCAGATGAAGGACGTTCAAGGAGTGTAAACCGTTAAAGGTGTCATTATCAATCGTCGCGATATTGCTATTGTTTAAGTAGAGCTTATGTAATTTCTTTTTGCCAATAAACAAGTGACTTCCTAAAGAGCGAAAGTCATTACCGTCGAGGTACAGCTCAGTTGCATCCATTGGTATTTTCTCAGGGATTTCAGTGTAACCGACATTTGAGCAGTCGATAACATTCGAATTCCAGTTGCTATCGTGGAAACAGGAACAACCTTCAGGGCAGGTCATTTTGCAGTCACAAGCTTCAAAATCACAACAGAAACAACTAGACGAGCAATGAGTTTCATAAGAGCAAAGGAACTGGGTTTCCGGAACATCCATGAGGTTAGCTTTTCCGCCGTATTTATTGTTGACAACTTCACAAGTCACTGAGTCCAAATCAATAAATCTTGGATACTGTCTCATATGATTCCAAAGATTTATCTTTTGCAACCAAATCATGTGACAGTTGCAGACAAATGGATTATTTCCAATAAAGAATTTCGGCAGCAATCTATGCTTGGGAATATGGGGCAACGTAAATGCAGATAGCTCGACCGTCCTCAATTTATTGTCCGTCACAACGACTTTTTCTAAGTTCCTTTTTTGTAAAAATGTACCTGGATGAATCGTGTGAATTTTGTTGTTATTCAAAAAAAGAACCACAATAGAATCAGGTACGGATTTTTCGTCGACACTTTCTAAGGCGTTGAAACTCACATCTAGCATTCGAATATTTGGTTGCGCATTGTGTTCATTATCTAGTTTTGTAATATTGTTGCTATGAATATCTAGCCATTCAAGGCTTTCGGGCATATAGCTATAATCAAAGTAAATAAGCTTGTTGTCGGATATATTGAGCCATCCAAGGGTATTCAGTTTACTAAAAACGCCTCTGATGTCGCTCAGCTTATTTCCATCTAAGCGGATTGCTTTCAATGTCGGATTTGATAAAAACGCATCCTGTTCTACGGTTTCTATTTTGTTTGATGCTAAGTTTAGGACTTGTAAAGACGGTAAACTACTAAATGTATCTTTAGGGATACTGACAATGTGATTATCTACAAGGCGCAACCCGTAGAGCTCTTCCAATCCTTCAAATGAAGTATTGGATACTTTAGTAATGTTATTTTTCCCAATATCAAGCGATTTTAAAAATCTCAACTTTCTAATGCTGTCTGGAATCATGTTGAGATTATTTCCATTTAGACCTAAGTCTTGCAAGTAGGTTATATTTTCAAAACAAAGCTCATGTATTGAAGAAATCTGATTGTTATCTAAATAAAGTTGACTCAAGACGAATAAGTTAGAAAATATGTGTTCATTCAATGTTTTCAGCTTGTTGTCTGATATTGACAATTGATGAAGGTTCTTCAGTTCAGCAAAAGCGCCATTACTAATTGTTTCAATTGCATTGTTATCCAAATTTAAAACTTGCAAGTTATTCAGATCTTGAAATGATTTTGGGTCTAATCGGATAAGTGAATTGTAAGATAAGTTCAGTATAACCAAGCGAATCAGTCCAGCAAATGTATCACGATTCACCCAATCGTTTGTAAGGCGGTTTCTTGATAAATCTAGTTTCTCTAGTTGATCAAGTCCCTCTAGTAGTCCTGGAGCCAATACAGAGAGCGAATTGTTTGCTAATGAGATTTGTTTGATAACACGTGATGATTGAAATAGTTCTGGAGGAACAGCGACTAACTTATTCCCAGATAAATTAAGAATTTTTAATGAATTCAGTCCAACAAAGGCTCTGTCTCCAATCTCATTAATCAAGTTATTTTGAATCTTTAAAACTTCTAGAGAACGTAGACTAGAAAATCCGTTGTCGGGAAGTCTCAGTACATTATTGTGTGATAGATCAAGCATTTTAAGTCCCGTATTGCATGACTTTCCTGGTGCAATAGGACCTTTGCCCCAATCGGAAAAACCAATTTCTGAAATATCCTGTATTCGGTTATTTGTGAGATTCAATATTTCTAAACTGAACAGCGGACAAAATACTTCAGAAGGTAGCATGTAAATATTATTGTCTCCTAAATCTAGCGAACGGAGTTCCATCAATCCCCTAAAGCTTTCGGCGTGAAACTCCATAGTCATCGCAGGCCAATCAGTGTTGTAGGAGCGTAGGGTTAAACTCGTTAAATCACGGAGCGGAGACAAAACAGTCGCCGGAACGTAACGAATCTTGCAGTACTCAATGCGCAGGTCCTCTAGCTTTCGCAGCTGACCGAGGAAACTGCCGGTGTTCATGTGCAAAGAACTCTCGAAGAAAAGCAAATCAGTGCATGTAAGTTTCAATTTGTTGATGTTGTACGCCTGTGCAGTTGTAATGTTTCTAAATAAAAAATCAGCAGATCCAATCGTTTTGATGTTGCACGTGAGAAAGTTTGATTCACTCAACTTTGTGTCCGAATAGTCCCACTGACAGCCGGCGGGAGCGGGCGGCGCGGAACGTGCGCGCGCATCGGCCACTAAAAGCAGGCACATCCAAACTTTTAACGAAACCATTCCGTATAAGTTCTTGGTCATATTTCCACAGTAACACAGTTCATTTGTCACTAATAGATCACTAAAAGTTTCCTTAATAACTTTATATCACTTTACAGTCGATTTTATAAAGTCAGTATTTTTGTATAGAGTCTGTTTCACAGCGCATGTAAACATGGAGTGCGAGATCGCGGCAAAACTTTTGACGCAGCCATACTCCCCTGCGGTCGGGCGGTAACTGACCTACGTAAGTTTGAACGAACGAAAGCCGCATGGGTGCCGGGAGAGGGGAAGCGCGAGGGGCATGGAGGGTCCCTTGTTGCGATGACGGGTGGGACCCGCGCTGCATCGGCTTACAACAGATGGCACGCGTGTTTTTAAACACTTGAAAATATTCGTTGTGCTTATGAAGCAACGAAGTCTTAGGGCTGCGTGACTTGTTGGTTGAATCTCCTCAGGTTTCGTCTCAAAGGAGGTCGTAGTTGCATCTGAAACAGAAGTGTTTTTATAATTTAAAAAAATCGATATTCTGGAAGGCTGTGTGTAAAAAAATGCTTATCAAAATCTGTTTTTATTTTGGAAATGAAACTATGTTTTTCGGAACTAAATCGCGTGTTTTTGTTTTTGCAAACAGACCAACGTTTTGGGCCTCTTTTAATTTTTAACTAGATATAAAAAGTATGCATAACAATACAATGTACACCAATAATTTGTATGTAGATACGTAAGCAGAAAAAGGCAACAACTATGTACAAGATTTTGACAATATGGGCGGATACTTTTGCGTCAATACAGAATGAAATGATTGACAGTACAGTACATTCATCAATGTAAAGATATTTCTCATGATTTACTGACAAAAGATATTGTTGTGTTTAAATTTCTTTTGAATCAATTCACTTAAGTAACTGAACGAGCAGATGTTCAATAACTGCAAATTAAATACAATGGCGCGATGACTGTTAAAATTATAATTATATTCAAGTTGTCTGATAGGTGGACAATTTAGAACGCCATAGTCAATTTTAGTGTTGGATATCAGGAACAGTTTCCAAGTAACGATAATGTCTTTCAATCAGTTCATTTTAAGATTTTGAAAAACATAAGGAATTCCACAGCTAGCTAGTTAGCTCCAAAAACACGTCCAAAGAGGCCGGGCCACCGCGCGTCTCCGCAAAGTCTAATCGTAGGCCATCGGATGCCATAACACGTGCGTGTCGAATTGCGTCTACCGTGGGAGACGTTGCGAGAACTCCGGACCTCTCAATGGTGCTGCAATCTATATATATATATATAGCTTCCTGATTAACACGAGACACAGACTATACTGAACTTAAAACAAAAATTGTCAAGTTGGAAAATGATAGAGTAAACACGAACTTTAATAAATAGCATGTGGAAATATAAAAAAATATATCAACCTACAGAGAGACTATAAAGACGGGATCAAACGTAAGAAGTGAAGTATGGTATACTATCAGAATGGAATTTTATGATCCTTCCCGGATGAATGTCAAGATTTGTAAGATAGATTGATTGTGTCTTGTGTTGTGACCGATGAATCATTCTGATGATATTTTATTTGATTTCCATTATTTTGTCTACGGATCAGCATTAAGTTATCAATGTCATAAAACAAAAGGATTAGCGTCTCAAAAAATATGCATATATAGAAAAACGTCTTTCTGGAAATATAGTTCGTCATAGCAAGGTCAGTATTTATCGGGACCAAACTATAGACACTCTCTGTCAATATTGACAGTCAATATCTCACGTGGCTCGGTCTAATATTTACCAGCCGAATAATATTACCACTTATCTTCTAACAACTGGCTACAAAAACATCTCATATAGATCTTCCTTTAGGAACTTTATGTATAAAAGTGTTAGTATAGACCGATATCAGTAGACCAAAGTTTGATTTTCATTCGGAGTTTATCTTGTACTGTTTACAATTTTTTTATTTGCAGTTACTAATTAAAAATCACATGTATTCCTTTTAATGACCAGGCTCGGTAAAGCACAAAAATGTTATTTGAATTGTGTCATAATGTTGTAATAACGTAAATCATTCAAGCATAATAACAAAGATCCCGCCTATGTAATGCACTGTAATGAATGACCAATATATCAGTAATAATGTAGTAATAGATGGAGTAGTGAGCAACGGAAATGAGCCTATTACTAGTCACTCGATTGACCAATTGTATTGTAACTGGTAGCTAAATCAAAACTCAACATAAAAACATCATAAAGTTGATTGACAAAGGAAAGCATTCCATGCAACGGAAGCTTTAAAACATAATTGAAACAGCTCTGCGTGAAACTTAAAAACGAAACAATTGGAAACTGCAGCAAAATTCAAAACCAGAATGAGAGCTGTAAAGCAGAAACAATTAAATTAGCCAGAACCAAAAGGATCTTTTATTTAATTCAAACAAATGCACCAGCCCAACGATCGTCCATGTCGGTGTTGAAAAGTAAGGATAAAAGACATTCATTAATAGAAATATACCATTTACGCACAGTGCTAGACGATTCCATGACAAAAACGTTTAACAGTTTTGTGTACCGCAATAAAAACAGCGCCAAAGCCGTTTTTACGTAGACAAAAGAATTTTACCACAGATATACAATTGCCCCTATAAAATTCGTTGAGACAATAGTATTTACATAAAAGCAATCGGTGAGTTTATGGGTGCCCGCACCACAAATAATGTTTAAGATATTTTGACGTTATAAATCTTTCGAAATCCATGTTTGGTTTGTTTATTTAATATTATTGCTTTATGACTTTTTATGTGTTTAAGAGGGAAAAGTTATCATTAATTTATTTAGAAAATAAATTGAACATGTTCTGAGTTTAAAGAGAAATTGAGCTTCAAGCACGACTGCAATAAAAAGACATTGGTAAATTGTCATCACAAAATTACTATGTGATGTAACACGTCTAGTTTTCTAGCTGACTGATGCGTTTGTTGGTCACCTTCTAAATTGCCTAACATTACGCTATATTGGAGAAAGGCTTTTTGATACGACTTCTTGATGAGATCAAGATATGTTGGTTAGTATTTATTGTTTATTTTTCGGATAGCCAAATACCGAATCATGGAACTTATATTACAGTACGATAAATATTGACTGCCATGAAAAGTTAAACAAAGCATCTAATAGCATTGTATAATGTACAAGCACAATACAAACGATTGCAAACTTTTCGTTACAAGTAATTTATGGTCTCGAGATTAATCTTGAAGACCCATGTACGCGGTTGATGGGTTAAAAGCGTGATTGTTATTTGTAAAATAAGACATTGCATCTGTTAGAGAGCTGAACGTTGAACGTTAAAGGCGTTTTAAGAGATAATCTGGACAAAATATAGCCCGCGTCACTCGATAAAGGTGGTCTCGGCAAACAGGTACTCCCAAGGCACGTTTCGAGTCAAATAACCTGCAGGAAAGGGTCCGAAACAGAAAACGCTTTGTGCTAAAAACGTCGACCCCTTATCTTCCTAAGATGGGTCGCAGCCATAGACTAAAGAACTGAAAGAACTTTACGTATTATTGTTAATGAAGTTTTTTAATTGACAATACTGCCTTCTCAAGTATTTTTTTATTTCTCAATCATAATAATTGTGATAAAGAAAATAACAATTAATAAATGTGTGTTTTTATCACAAATTTTTATCGTAACTAAAGAAAATAATTTCGCATCATATTGCGGTCATATCAACTTTCAATTAGTAGTTCTTTAAACAAAATCAATTCGCCACTCATTCCTAGACTAAAACGTTCCTGATGTCTATCGACCTCGAAACTGCAACTAAGTAGTTACTTCAAACCAATAATTTCTTGCAAAATTCTTAACGCTCCTTGCATTGTTAGATATTCAAATTCGCACTGTAAAAGGAAGTCTAAACAGTACATTTCCATATTCGTGCCGTGTCTCTCAGCTTCATGTCTATCTGGAGTCTGCTTCCAGAGGCTTAGCACGAAGTCATCATTCATACGAGGAGATATCATCGTCGCTCTGGCCACGGCTTTCTGCTTGTTAACAATAAAAACGTTATCCGGCGCTTACACAAAATGTGTCTCAGGAAAATGTCCGACCTCACCAACCTCCTTTATTTTATTCGTTTTGGTCTCACAGATATTAAGTGCTTTAAGATATGTAGGTGCGTTTCCTTTATTTATTTTGTATTATATGTTTGCGAGCACTTCAGAATACAAATTTTGGTTTAAAAATGTGGATTTTAGATAAAAGCTTTTTTAAATTTCTTTTTTATCTTAAAGAAAAAAAAAAATGGTTTTAATAACGGTTTTTAGCAAATATAGCGATATAATAATAAAAACTACTTAATATAAAGAAAAGCACATGTCATTTATTGGGAGTTATTTATTATGGACCAAATCATGATAAAGCTTTACTCTGAGACCTTTTAGTGATACTAAGTCAAGGGAAGAACAAGTCGTGTGCCTGATGGTAAACGACACGCCTGTTCATAACAGTTACAGTGCCACTCAGAGCTTTAAATCGCAAAAATTTGAGGTGTGCTACCTCTGCGCCCATCACCCTGAGACATAAATTGAAAAGTCCCATGTTCCTGTAATTTCACTAGCCGTTCAAAACCGGAACTTGCTTGGCGGCAGAAATAGGTGAGATGGCAGTACTGCCCTAAATGAACTCTTTCACAAGGAGTTCTACTGCTACTAAAGGGCCCTTAGCGTTGGTTTGTAAATACAAACAAATATACGCGAAACTCATAGGTTTCCCACAGATAGCGTCACACCAGAAAAGCCGTTAAAATCGAAAACAAAGATCTGCAACAAGCACATAGAGAATTTTGTAAGGTCGCTGGGTTCTAGTCCAGTCGGATTTGTTCGATTTTTGTATCAATAATAGCAATAAACTAGTAGTACATTCACAAAAAGGTATGTGTATCATGGTTAAAAACATCATGGTATTCCATATTATACATAGTCTAATATACCTACGCGATTTAGACCCGAAATAATACAGTACAGAATAGAAGTACAGAGTATAGAAGTACAGAGTACTAAAACACCGGCCTCAAAAGTAATTCATATGAAAATAATGACTTTTGGATGTTCTTCAAATTTAAATGGGACCATTATTGATGTACCCTCTGTTGAACAACAGAAGAATCATCAAAATCGGTTCACATACATAAAAAAATACAGTCGTATTAAAAACCTCCTTTTCTGAAGTC